TCTATTTTGAAATTATCTAGTATATTTATATTGTTTACAAGATGTTTTGAGAATGCATTCAATGAAATTCTTCAAAATAGAATTCATGTAAAAAAAAATGGTATCTATTAACAAATAATATTATTTTTTGTTATCATAGAATACTGATATTTATGACATATTGTTCCATTTTTTGTAATTAAAAAATCGATTTAAAATGTTTTTGATTTTCATATTCATCTTAGTTTAAATTTTTCATAATAAAATTTTAACTTGTGCAAAATTTTACAATAAACATGCTTATCATGTGTTTAAGCATTTTAACTGAATTCTAAACACATACATCTGCTCATGAGTACAATAGCTACATTATCATATGGCAAGATAAGATAGAAAGAGTGTGTCTAAAGCAATAACTTTCCTTTTAATGTGCGTAATACTTTAATACTTGTTAAAATAATAAGACTGTATACCATTCATAAAGGGTGTCCAAATAAATATCGCATTAATACAAAAAAAAATATATCAAAAATAGAAATGAAAATACATATTTCATAAACAAACAAAAATTCGATATTCTAACAATGTTTATACAACTGCTTGAGAAAATAACTATTTGTTCATGTAGCATAATCATCAATTTTAGAAATGATAAGAAAAAAACTCTCTCCCCTCTGTCCAAATTTGATACATCTCACCTTTACCTAAACGTTCTTTATAGATGACCTCTTATTGAATTAATAATTTCTTGTAGAACAACTATTATAAGTTTTTCACATTAAGCTATCAACATCAATCCTTAACATCGAATATTTTTTTACTCAATTAAATTTATTCTAAAAAGCAGTCTAACATCATAAGTACAAGCTTTTGTAGAATAACAGTATAGAGTTCCCTTGTTTTATAGTTACATATAATCATGATCAGTATAACACTACAGATTACAATAAAAATTTATTTCAAAAATAAACGAGAGATTATTTTGGTCAGTGTGATCTTCCAAACAGTTTCTATATATAAGAAGTGACATGATACAAAAAAGAAAAACATGATTTAATTATACTCAACGAGAATAAAACCAAAAATACTAAATTAACATAAAGATAAAAATAAATATATTAGCATGCATATAAATGTGATTTTCAAGAGACAAAAATCTATACATAGTATGTTTTATAAGAGTTCATTGAAAAATACTTTGGCTATTCTTTCAATCTCTATTCATGATATTCGAATAAAAAAGCGTCAGAAAAGAAATTCATAAGAAGAAAATTATTTCACATATTATAAGTCATAATTTTATTTATTTAGAAAAGCAGAAAAACGTGTTAAAATAGTAGAAAACCGTCGTCTTAAACAAATTAATGATAATAATCAAGAATTAGATCGACTTATAAAACGCAATGTAAGTTTACAAATAAAAGAAAACAAAAATTTGTTTTATTGAATTTTGTTTTTGTTTTATTTTTTTAGTCAAAAACAGACGATGATTTATCTCTAGATTTATCTCTAGATTTATCTTCACTTCTTAATCAATCGATTTTAAATGATTTCGATTGGTTTAGTATACAATTTATACAAGATTGTTTTAATGGAGCTGTACGATTAAATCAAATAGCTGGTATGTCATTTTATCCATCAACACAACCACTTGAATCAACAACGGAATTATTTCGTATACCACTTTATATAATATCAATGCGTCTGATAACATATATAAAACAATTAAATGAATTTGAACAATTAGATAAAGAAGATCAAGTTTATATTGTTAAATTAAATTTATTAACAATTTGTTTTCTTCATTCAATATTTATATATGATCCAAGAACAGATTGTTATCGTGAACAAGATACAATTGATCCATTATTTTCAGGAAAAGATTGGATTAAAACATTAAATAAACAATTCCATAATGAAATGAAACAAATACGAAATGATTTAATTGATATATTTCAATTTGATGATATTGTTATTAAATTATTTTATGTTATATTACTTTTTTCAAATCGAATATCATTAAATCAAGCACCTCAATGTATATTAACATCAAATATTAATACATTAAGTATATTCAAAGCACAAAATATATTTGTTGATTTAGTTTACAGATATTGTTTACATCAATATGGTTCTAATCAAGCACCTATATTATTTTTACGATATATTAATAAATTAATGAAAATTCAACAATTAGTTGATGAAATTAAATTTACAATAAATAATTATATTGATATAACTGAACTATCACCATTAATGAAAAGTCTTCTCATGTAACTTGTAAATAAGACAAGAAATTTTCTTTTCTTTATGTGTTCATCATTTATTCTTATTCTAGTGGTGACATTTGCGAAAAACATTTTTTTAGTTATTTTTGTGTGTAATGTACTTAAGTATACATAGTATACACTGTTTCCATATGTTTCATCTACAAAAAAAAATATTTCCTTGATTTTGTTACTCAATATTAGTAGACAATAGAAAAGAATTTAGGAAAAAAGAAAACATACATAGCATTGTCATTGTATATCTGCGTTAGTTACGTATTAAAATTTATTTTACGA